AAAATAAACAACTATAAAATAGAAATATTGCAAAATCGCAAATTTGTAAAAACAAACAAAACAAAAAACTGGAAAATCCTGGAATTGCAAACCGAAAAATTTGCAAAATCTAAAAACTGACACATTAAATCGTAAAATTAAAAAGTGAAAAATTTGAGAAAAATTGTAAATCAAAAATCTGAAGAAATAAAAAAATTTAAAATTTAAAAATTGAAAACTGAAAACCCAAATGATTTTAAATCGAAAAATTGCAAAATCTAAAAATTGAAAAAACAAAAAAATCAAAAATTGAAGAAACGAAAAACTGAAAAAGTTAAAATCGAAAAACCAACAAATTTTAAAATCGGAACATTGAAAAATCGAATATGTATTTGAAAAAATAAAAATAATAAAAAACAGAAACGAAAAATTGCAAATTGAAAAACTGAGGAAATGAAAAACTGAAAAATCTAAAAATTGAAAGAGCCAAAAGTTGGACATTGAAAAAGTAAAAATTTTTAAAATGAAACTCCAAGCACATCGTAAAATTGAAGAAACAAAAAAAAATTAAAACTTGAAAAGTTACAAATCGAAAAATCGATGAAATGAAAAACTGAACATATTGAAATTGAAAAAAAAATTATAAAATTGGAACTTTGCAAAATCGAAAATTTGTAAAACTAAAGAAAATAAAAAACCGAAACGGAAAATTGTAAATCGAAAATTTGAAAAATTTTAAAATGAAAACTCCAAACATTCTAAAATTTAAGAAACAAAAAAAAAATGAAAAATTTAAAATTACAATTCGAAAAATCGATGAAATGAAACACTGAAAACATTAAAATTGAAAAAAGAAAAAATTATAAAATCGGAACATCACACAGTCGAAAATTTGTAAAAATAAGGAAAATAAAAAACCGAAAAATAGCAAATCGAAAATCGAAAATTTCGAGTAATAAAAAATAAAAAATCGAAAATTAAAAATTGAAAACCCGAGATATTTTAAATCGATAAATTGCAAAACTTTAAAAATTGAAGAAAGAAATAAAAATGGGAAATCGAAAAATTGAAAATCGCAAAACTGAAGAAACGAAAAACTCAAATAATTTAAATTTTAAAAACAACAAATTATAGAACCCAAACATTCAAAAATTGAACACATTTGAAAAAAAAAAACTGAAAAAACAATGAAAATAAACCGAAACGAAAAATTCAAGACATGAAAAACTGAAAAATCGAAAAAGTGAAAAATTTTAAAATGAAAACTCCAAGCATATCCTAAAATTGAAGAAACAAAAAATTGTAAATCGAAAATATGAAGAAATAAAAAAATGGAAAATCGTAAAATTGCAAACACATTAAAAGGTTGGAAAATTAAAAAGCGAAAAATTTAAAAACGAAAACTCCAAGCATTTCGTACAATTAAGAAACAGAAAAAAATGAAAAATTAAAAAATTGCAGTTCGAAAAATCGATGACATGAAACACTGAAAAAATTGAAATTGAAAAAAATTTAAAATCGGGACATTCCAAAGTCGAAAATTTGTAAAAACAAAGAAAATAAAAAACCCAACGAAAAATTGCAAATCAAGAAATAAAAAAATTAAAAATAAAAATTAAAAAAATAAAAACTGAAAACCCAGGAGATTTTAAACAGAAAAATAGCAAACTATAAACTGGAGAAACAAAAAATCAGAAATTGAAGAAACGAAAAACTGAAGAAACTAAAATCGAAAAACCAACAAATTTTAAACTCGGAACATTGAAAAATCGAATATGTAATTGAAAAAATAAAGACAATAAAAAACTAAAATGCAAAAATTGCAAATCTAAAAACTAAGGGGGAGATTCTGGAAACTCCGATAAGTTGCAAATCGCTATCGAAACTGCAAATACAATGCAACAACAATACATGTTGCTATGGTTTTGAATTTGCAAATCCTTGCAAGGCCTTATCGAGTTTCCAGAATCTCCCCCTAAGGAAATAAAAACTGAAAATTTCAAAAACTACAAAATCTAAAAATTGAAAGAGCCAAAAGTCGCAAAATCGAAAAAGTGAAAAATTTAAAAATGAAAAAGTGAATAATTCTAAAACTGGAACTTTGCAAAATCGAAAATTTGTAAAAATAAAGAAAATAAAAACCGAAACGAAAAATTGTAAACTCGTGTAATTGAAAATCGAAAAAGTGAAAAATTTTAAAATGAAAACTCCAAGCATATTCTAAAATTTAAGAAACAAAAAAAAATGAAAAATTATAGAATTACAATTCGAAAAATGGATGAAATGAATAATTGAAAAAATTGAAATTGAAAAAAATAAAAAAAAACAAAATCGGAACATTGCAAAATCGAAAATTTGTAAAAATAAAGAAAATAAAAAACTGAATGAAAAATTGCAAATCGACAATCTGAAGAAATAAAAAATAAAAATCGAAAAATTGAAAAATTAAATACTGAAAACCCGAGAATTTAAATAAAAAAATTGCAAAATCTAAAAATTCAAGGAACAAAAAAATCACACATTTAATAAACGAAAAACTGAAAAAATTTAAATTTAAAAAACAACAAATTTTAAAATCGGAACATCGAAAAATCCAAAAATTGAAAAAAATAAGGAAAAAAACCGAAACGAAAAATTGCAAATTGAAAAAATGAATAATTGCAAAATCTAAAAAGTGGGAAATTGAAAAATGAAAACTGCAAGCATATCGTAAAATTGAAGAAACAAAAAAATCAAAAATTGAAAAAAACAAATTTTAAAATCGGAACATCCAAAAATCGCATAATTGAAAAAATAAAGAAAAAAAAACCGAAACGAATAATTGCAAATCGAGGAAATTAAAAATTGCAAATAAAAATTAAAACATCCAAAAATTAGAAAATCGAAAAAGTGGGAAATTTAAAAATGAAAATTCCAAGGATATCGTAAAATTGAAGAAACAAAAAAAAAGTTAAACATTGCAAGTCGAAAAATCGATGAAATGAAAAACTGAAAAAATTTAAATTGAAAAAGTATAAAACTATAAAATCAGAACATCACAAAATCGAAAATTTGTAAACATACAGAAAATAAAAAACCGAAAACTGGCAAATCGTAAAATAAAAAACTCAAAATCAAAAACTGAAAACCCGAGAAATTTTAAATCGAAAAATTGCAAAATAAAAAAGTTGAAACAAGAAAATGAAAATTTGAAAAATCGAAAATGGAAAATTGAGGAAACGAAAATTTGAAAAAATTAAAATTAGGAAGAGCAATTATAAAATCGACACAATGAAAAATCGAATACTTGAAAAAATAAAGAAAATAAACCGAAACGAAAAATTGCAAACCGAAAAATTAAAGCAATGATTGAAACATCAAAAGCTGGAAAAGCGAAAAAATGAATAATTGTAAATAAAAAATCAATGAAATGAAAAATTGAAAAAAATAATTGAAACAAAATAAAATCGAAAATTTGTAAAAATAAAGAAAATTAAAAATCCAAAAATAGCAAATCGAAAATTTGGAGTTAATAAAAGTAAAAAATCGAAATAAAGAAAAAATTGAAAAATTTAAAATTGAAAACTCCAGGCATATCGTAAAATTCAAGAAACAAAAAAATGAAAAATTGTAAATTGAAAAATCGATGAAATGAAGAACTGAAAAAATAAAATTGGAACATTGCAAAATCGAAAATTTGAAGAAATAAAAATTAAAAATCGATAAATCGAAAAATTAAAAATTAAAAACTAGAGACATTTTAAATTGAAAAATTGCAAAATCTAAAAACTGAGAAACAGAAAAATGAAAAACTGAAACGAGAATTGAAAAACCGAAGAAACGAAAACCTGAAAAATTAAAATTGAAAAAACAAGAAATTTTAAAATCGGAACATTGAAAGATCGAATAACCCAAGAAATGAAAAATTGAAAAATCTAAAAATTTAAATATCCAAAAGTTGGAAAATCGAAAGTGAAAAATTTTTGAATGAAAACTCCAAGCATATCGTAAAATTGAAAAAACAAAAAAATTAAAATCTAAAAAAATAAATACATAATTATAAAATTGGAATATTACACAATCGCAAATTTCTAAAAATAAATAAAATAAAAAACCGTAACGAAAAATTTCAAATAAAAAATTGCAAAATTAAAAACTGAAAACTCGAGAAACTAAAATTGAAAAGTTGTAAAATCTAAAAATTAAAAAATTCAAAAATTGGAAAACAGAAAAACTGAAAAGCTTATTAAACTTAAAAATTCGAAAAATTGGAGAAACAAAAAAAAATTAAAAACAGAAAAATTCTAGTCAAAAAAGCAACGTAATTTACTTTATAGAGGTTTCCAAAAACAAAAATCGCAAACAATTTTTATAACTTTTCAAAGACGCGGGATTTGATAGGTTGCACTTCAAACGCGAGGGAAGTGCTGTAGAAATAACTTTCGATCAATTTTTTTTTTAATATAAGCAAGCGCGGCATTACTGTATTCTTACATTTTCGAGAAAATGTGGTTATCTATTTTTGATTTGATCAATAAAACAAAGCATTTGAAATGACCAGGGGTCGAATCGAATGCTTATAATTTAACCAACTGCACTTTGAAGTACTTATTTACCAACATAAATCGCGATTATGAATGAATGTTTGTGGTTGCCAAATGTCATGTGATTGAATTTATGTACTGTGTTGATAACTAGTAATAAGTAAAGTTGCACATTACTTTATTAGTTTGTACATAGTAAAGGGAATGTTTCCATCAAATATGCAAAAAAAAAATATTTTGTCAGAACTCTCTGTACATTAAAAAAAAATGCCCACGCAACATAACCTACACACAAACATATGTTTTATGGACGTGTTAAAATTGTTTACGTATATATTTACATTTTTTAAAAAATCTTTGTCCTTTTCCCGAATAAAAACCTGTTATGTTGGGTGAATCAATAAAAAAAACAGTCCAAGACCACCAAACATGTAAATGAAACGTTTCGGGGTCCGCAAAAAAATTTCGAACCCCTCTACACGACTGCCGGAAAATTACCTCTCTCGCTGGCATCATCCACTAAAATAATTTCTTTGAGTAAAGGCCGCGGAGATCTGTTGATGACGCTCCAAACGGTCCTCAGGAGTGTCGTCCACGCTTCGTTATGGAAAACAATAACAATTGACGTCGTCGGAAGCAGCTTCGGATATTTCTTATCTTTACACCTGCAACAAGAGTCCTCGATCAACTTGAGAAACAATTAAATTGCAAATAATAACCGGTTGCACGGAGGAAAGCGAAAGTCCCTATTATCTCAAGGCCGACAGAAGAAATTGCAATTTCCGACCGAAGTTGCACATCTTTTATTGTCTTTTGCCGTGTCCTTGGCGGTGTTCCAGTTGGGACATGGGAACAGTGCGAATAGTTTACGAAAGAGAGATATCGTGTTAAGGTTAACTTGAAAGAAAATTAAAAAAAAAAATGTAATTTTCTGTCTTGATAAAAAACATTGTAGCGTTACCGTGTTATTTATATGTATGTGAATGAAATTCCAACGACCTCATTACGTTGGAAATGCGTAAGGTTAGCAAACGGCACTTCCATTTGTAAGGCAGTACCTATTTACGTTCGGTTGGATTCCTTTTTAAATTTTAAAAATACATGTACTTGACATGCTGCCCATCATTGTAACAGTTAAAAATAAGTAACACATGTTTTCGAATCAAAGTTAACTCAAACACGAGTAACAAACGTTGTCTGATGCATAATTTCACCGTTTTGTTCACGGAATGAATGCATTTATTCCGGTTTGCCGCGTTGTGGTTAAGTTCATTAAGGCTACACAAAAATAAATACGTATTGCATTAATAAAGCCGATAGGTTTCTTGTTGTGCGGAGGGTCACCATCTTTTATAATGTTTTCACTTGAATTAAATTGTTTCCAGGATAATAAAAAATGTTATGTTAACTTTTAAAATTGCGACTGCAACGCTTTCATGAATAAAGATAAAAACTGTATACATTTCTCAAGCGAAATAATACTGCAATAACAAGAACTGAAAAGATTATAATTAAGTTCATTTTCATGTAGCTTCAAATTGCTGACATGAATCTAACTGTATTACGGTGTACAATATTAGTTAAGTTATCGATAGAGGTAAATCCTGAATACGGCGACCGTTTAATGACATCTGACGCTTTTACTACAGTTTACGAACTATGCACGTAACGGTTTACGTGCTTATAATTTACGGCACCCTAATTCTGAATTAACACCCATAAACTATTACTAATAAGCTGAGAAGTTCCACTAAAACGCAAAATGTCTTTGGTGAATTATTGACAACTTAACACCCCAGTTTCTGACAAAAAATAAGGGGAAGTGGTTGTGTCAAAATTCAGTTCTTTCGGAATTTTTAAGACATCTTTTATTGTAGGTATGTTCGTGAATAGTTGTCGTCTTCTTTTAGCATTTTCGTGAAATTTTTCATCACGTATCTTAAAACTAAATATCTGTATTATTCGTAACGCAGTTTTCACCACTGTCTTCAACTTACATAACACTATACATTACATTCCGCACAAGTGTGTACTATACATATAAAACATATTTAAAGCAGATAACCAAAGGGAAAAAATGTTGAGATTCTCAATTTCTCACTATATGTTCAACTTCGACTGTTTATGTTTTTATTTACAAAAGAATGCAACTATTAGCACGTTCAGGTTACAAACAACAGGGGTTAAAAGAAAACGAAATTTGATTGATCTTGTGTCCTCAACTTTTTTCAGTTTTTACCTCAAAAACACTCATAAATTTGAGAAATTCGGCAACATTGTAAGATGACGGACAAATTTTGATTAACCATTTACCATGCTTCCAATAATCTAAAAATATTTGCAAGATTACCCAGCATTTGGTTTTGCAATTTAAAAATTAAATTGTAAAATATTGATACACAATTTTGATTTTTTTTTTTCGAAAAATCTGTATGCCAAGGATAAAATTCGACACGGATTCATACATCACACATGCAGGAGCATGTTATTTTATGTAATTTTAAGAAATTCGGTGGAATTGTAAGATCATTTTTACATACTTCCCAAGCGTCGGTCGACCGACTCTACTTTTACGTTTTCTCGACCCTTTATGACCCCTACAGTGCGAAGAAATAGGTCTCCCGTTTCCGTCTGTCTGTCCGTCCGTCTGTCTGTCCGTCCGTCTGTCTGTCCGTCCGTCTGTCTGTCCGTCTGTCTATCCGTTCGTCTGTCTGCCGCCACGGATTTTTATTAGACTGATAATCTCCGACATTACTGGGCCGATTGTTGTCAAATTTTGTATTTATATTAGAAATATCATGTAGATGGTAAAACGCTAACCAAAATTTGTCTAATCATCCCCACCAATAATGTGATGACGTCACTTCAAAATTGTACATACTAAACGTCCAGATTTTTGAAAAAAAAATCAAAATTATGAAACAACGATAAATTTTTAACCAAAATATATTTATTTATCCCCTCCAAAAAATCGATGACGTCATCCCAAAATTTTGCTGAATAAAATCTAAAATGTACAAAATATGAGTCTGTACCTGTGATTTATCTTTCCACTCATATTTTTTGGATTTTTAAATACAGGTGGCTCAAAAAAATTATTGAACGGGTTTGTTTATTTTATTGATTTAGTCAGGAACTGCAAAACCGAATGCTTTGAAATTTTGGAAATCTTTTAAAATTATCATAAGCATGGTAAATTGTTGATCAAAATGTATTTGCTCATCCCCCCTAAAAAATTCATGTCACCTCAAAATATTGCTGAATAAATTCTATCTTAAATGTGCAAAATATGATGATTCTATTCTTAATTTATCAATGCATTCAATTTTTTAGATTTGCTTATACAGCGTGACTCAAAAAAATTAATGAATTAATCAAATATTTTATTGAATAAATCAATAATAATTGCAAAAATGAATACTTTGAAATCTTGCAGATGTTTCAGAATTATTGTAAGCATGTAAACAAATATATCTGTTTATTCCCCCAAGAAATTGATGACGTGCAAAATATCATGAGTTTTGAGCATTGCATTCATGTTTTTTAGATTTGCCCCCTTTTTTCTCACAGGATATGTCTTTTGCCAAAATTAGTCTTATCTGAGCAAGGACTGGCCCCGCCCACCCGCCCTCTATTTTCGTGAGGATATGGCATTTGCCAAGACCAGTTTTATCTTATTAAAAGTACTAGCACCGCCCACCCGCCTCCTATTTTCTCAGAGGATATGCAATTTGCCAAAATGCTAATATTTGCTAAAATAAGATTGATTTTGGCAAATGACATAATCCTCTCAAAAAATAGGGGGTGGGTGGGCGGGGCTAGTCCTTGCTAAAATAAGACTAATTTTGGCAAATGACATATCGTATCCTCTAAGAAATATAGGAAATCTAAAACATATAAATGCAATGATAAATCACAAGTAAAAACTAATCATATTTTGCACATTTTGGGTAGAATTTATTTGGCAAAATTTTGAGATGACGTCATCAATTTCTTGGGAGCAATAGATATTTTGGTTACATGCTTACAATAACTTTAAAACATCTGCAAGATTTCAAAGTATTCATTTTTGCAATTCTGGATTTATTCAATAAAATCAATTGATTGATTCATTAATAAGAGATAAGATTTATTTTGGCAAATTACATATCCTTTGAGAAAATAGGGGGCGGGTGGGCGGGGCTAGTACCTACTAACATAAGACTGACTTTGCTTCTATTAATCTTGTAAAAACTTGTTAAATTTAAAAGGTGGTAAATTGCAAATTTCCATAGTAACGAATGAAATTCCTAAATCTGATTGGGTGTCTATTTTTTATGTTTCATTCTACTTCAGGAGCGAGGGAGGTTCGGTTGAAACAACTTTCGACAAATTTTTTGGGAAGGCCATAAACGAATAAATTTTATTTAACGATTTATCATGACTGCTATCACTTTAACACGTTTGCAAGATTTCAGAGCATTCGATTTTGCAATTTCGAAGTTAAATTGTAAAATGTTGTTGTACAATTTAGATTTTTTTACCTAAAAATCTGGATATCAAGAGTAGAATCTCGACACGGATTCATAAATCACACATGCAGTATGTAATTCTATGAAATTTAGAGAACATTTATTCGGCAAAATTATAAAATGACGTCATCAGTTTTTAGGGGGGCATAAACCAAAAATTTTGATTAGATTTACCATATTTACAATAACTTTAAAACGCTTGCAAGATTTCAGACCATTCGGTTTTGTAGTTTCAAAGTTAAATTGCAAAATGTTGTTACGCACTTTTGATTTTTTCTCCAAAAAATTTGAAATTTACTAATGTAAATTTTGGAGATGACGTCATCTTAGTGTTGGTGGGGATGACTAGCCAAATTTACGTACGTATATAAAATTTGACAACAATCGGTCCAATATTTTCGGAGATTATCTGTTTAATAAAAATTAGAACAGTCGGCGGACAGACAGAAACGGGAGACCTATTTTTTCTTACTCTAGGGTTCATGAAATCTCGAGAAAACATAAAAGTAGCCAGCCATCCAATGAACTCGATTACAATACTTCTTAGCTTACGCTCAGAAAGTAAAAAATAAAATTTATTATCATTAAGCAGAACTTCTCTCGCACAATCAAACAAATCCAGTTTCTAAGAGAAGTTATAAAATTATTATTTTTTAAATACAACTACTATAGGTTCAAATAAAAATAGTGGTGCGTATGTTTCGAATGAGTTTTTAATAAGAGACGTCATCCACTTTTTAGTAGAAACAAATGTAACAATTCAATAATACTTATTTCCAGGAGTTCGGGAAAAGAAATAAGTAGCTTTTTATTCAATCGATAAAAAAAACTACTTCATGTATTAATTTAAGGAATTCTAAAACGTTTCTCATCCCTGAAGTACAGTCCAACAAATCCTGCTTTTTCGAAAAACTATAAAATTTGATTTTGGAAAATTTTATTTGTCTTATGATAAATCCCAAAAGTCATAAAAACATAGATTAAACCAGTCAATGACAAGTTTGTTATTCAATTTAGATTTGGAAAAACTCAGGGCGGATTTATAAACCACACGTACAGGAGTATGTTATTTTATAAAGTTCCGATAACAGTTACTATACATAATTGTGAAGTAACGTCATCAAAGCGTGAACAGGGATAATTAGACAAACTTTGGGAGATCTATTTTTTCGTACTCTAGGAGTCATGAAACACCAAGAAAACAGGAAAGTGGCCACTGGTCGAACGGACTCTATTAAAAAATATTCGGCGGTAAAATGATACCTTCCAGGTTGAAAATTATTAAAGTAAAGTGTTCATTACAGAACGATTGCAAAAAAAAGTATATTATGTGTGTTTTATGTTAATTACACCGCAACATACACATTTGAAACATATTTTTTTTTTAGTTTTTCCAACATTAGTCCTGAAATTATACAGCTTTTCAGTTTTGCAAAATTAAAACAATGTAAACACTGACAAGCTACGCTAATTGTGATTTATTTCCCATTGTTCACGAGTTTTATGATTAATTTTTGCATAATCACAGAGCTCACTTGAATAATTATTCCAAACTGAAGTTGAAACAATAGCATTTAAACTGAACTTTTACGATCAAGTGCAAACAGCACTAAAATTGTACAGCTTTTTGAACTCAATAATCTAAAATTAATTTCAACTGGTCATACACACAGTTTTTTTGATTTTAAGGAGTCCATGATACCATTTAGCTTTTTTAAATGGAACACCCCATGCATTTTTTCTGAAATTATATATATTTTATTACTGAATTTAATAAAGTAATTTAACAAAGTTTAGCCTTAGTATGCAGGGTGTTTATACGGAAAATCTAAAATAAGATTTAATATCGGCGAAAACTGTGACCGAGGTATCCGTTACGGTTCGATGTTGTAACATTAGTGATATAATTCTGAAATAACAAACCTCCTGTACATTTACAAGAGAAAAAACGCTAAATAAAAACTCAGAATATCCCACATATAAAACGTACAAAAAATATATGTCCAGACGACGATGAAAAGACAAAAACATATTAAACATGATATCAAGATAACGCAAAAACAACAGTAAATTATGTCAATTTGTAAACAATGTAAGGAAACTGTCTAGTAGTTGGGTTTTAATGAGCCATAAATATATTGGTAAATACCGAAACAACAGTTATTACTGGTATGAAAACTCTTTAAAACATTAATTTTGATTGTCGTTTACAGAACAACAATAAATTTATCAATTTGGCGTGGCATTTTTTAACAACTTATAAAATATGTATACACAAGGCTGTGGAACAAAAAAACGAATAAAATAAAATTCTGACTAGTCCAAAATTATTTAGGCAGAACTTCCCTCGCCCCTGAAGCACAGTCCGACAAATCCAGCTTCTTGGAAAAATGATAAAATTTCATTCCGCGACTTTTATCTTTTTGTGATAACCTCTACAAGTTAAAATAAAAATAGGTATGGATTATTAAACTACAGATAAAGAGAAACGCTATGCAAATCGCTGAAGCGAATTTTCCTCAATCAAGTTGGATGTGTAACAACAATATTAATGAATGATAACTTATTGTTGTTTAATCAATCGAGTAATCTCAATTAATTTTTTTGAAACAATTTTACAAGTAATTCCAATATGGGAGTAGAAATTTTTAGATGCGACGAAAGGATACGTTTTCATTAGCGATTTACCATGACAATTTTTTTTTTTTTTTTTAAACTAGACTAAAAAAAGCACTAAACTAAATCATCTTAAAAATAAAATTTTCATCATAAGTTCTAAGTTTGTACTCACTTCATTGAAACGAAACATTTGAGTCAAATCTAGACAGTACTGTGTTACTCATCCTGACACTTAAAACAATCCTAGGCAAAAGAAAAATTGATAACAATTTCCTCTTACTTACTCTTTGACCCTTTAGATAACTGACCTTCTTGTTTGTCCGATACATTTTTGATTGCGATTTTTACGACCGCTATCATAAAAACCTGACTTTTCCGTGCTCTGATTTATACGTTGTCTTGGAAAGCTCGTTGCTGGGTTCTTTGAAACATTTTTCTAACCTCTAGAAAATTACGAATCACTTGTAAAAATTTCAATCAGAAATAAAACATCTATATCTTTAAACGTCCTGAAGATGGTAACCTTGTCAGCAAAACTCGATGGCATTTTGTGTCGACTTTGATATTATTCAAACGCTTGCACAGACAAACCAGTTCCATCTAAGTTTGCTTTTTAACGGTGTTCATTTAGATACAGCCTTATTAATATTTATACACCGATGTCAAATGCAATTTTTTTTACGGAAAGCCGGTCTAAATTAAGACGCTTGTCTACTGATTCACTCGATATTTTATATATTTTGTATTAATGTATAATGCAAATAAATGTTACTAGCATATCTTGAATACCCACACATGTTGACAATACTAACGGGTATTCAATAAAAAATATATTTGGAGCAGGCCTTGGAATTATAAATTTTTCCGTTATTTATCACAATAACTTAGTTTGTCTGTTGGTGCCTGTAATACGATTCTAAGAAAATATTTTCATTTATTTCCCTATCGTCTCACACCTGTACATGAATTACGTCCGATTGATTTTTCTCAAAGAGTTCAATACTGTCAATTCTAAATACATATTCTAATATCCGTTCGCAAAACTCCCGCACTGTCAGAATGACATTCTGTTGGTATGAGAAATAATCCCCTAAAAGATTTTTTAGTTTATATGATTACCGCCTTGAATTTCAAATTTTCAAAATTAATGAATGAAAAATCAAATGTTTATTAACTATTTTACCTTTTTGAGTTGCTGAAATGTTCAATGTGTTTAAAGAACTTGTCAGTAATTCAAACAAATTGTAGCACCAGAAGCGTAGAAGTGGACAGTAAGGTCAAAAATATATATTATTCAAAAAAAGCTTTCGTTGTCGTTCGTGTGTCATACTCTTTCTTTACTTGAATTGATAAAAATCTTCAATTAATGTGCTTTTGACATTTTTATTTGACAAGTTATTTTTAGTTACTAGTTTGTCACTAGATTGCAATTTTGCAACATATTGTACAGGTTTTTCGCATCTCCCCACTGAGTACACTCAGGTCATTTTTTCCAAATCTGACACTGACAGTGCGGGAGTTTTGCGAACGGATATTAGATGGGAAGTAGTATTTTTGTAGATCAATCTGTAGACGTTCTAGAGTTTTTAACCAAAATATATTCGTTTATCCCCCTCAAAAATTGATGACGTCATCTCAAAATTTTGCCGAATAAATTCTATCAAGAATGTGCAAAATATGACGATAATATGCTTGTGATTTATCATTCCATTCATATTTTTTGGAATTGCGTATACAGCCTGGCTCAAAAAAATTATGAATGAGTCAATTTATTTTATTGATAAAATCAACAAAAATATTGATGACGTCATCACATAATTTTATAAAGGAAAAGCTCATTTGAAACATAGGTATAGCATGCTTCTTTATAAAGGGTATCAAAAAGTTTTCAGATTAGAGTTCGCGTGGAAATATTTGTCATGTCTTTGATTGAACTGTAAAAGTCATGGATAACCTTTAAAAACCTCAAATATTTCCAGGGCTAACTCTAATCTGAAAACTTCTCATAAAAAAAATATTTTTTAAATTTATTTTTTCTTCGAATAAAAAACAGACCTGTAGCTGTCTTATTTTTTAGTATTTTTAGTACAGTATTGTGTGACGTTTAAAAAAATTATTTTAAATATGCTATGATTTGATAAATTAATTACGTAATGATTTTAATGACACCCTATACATTTTTTAAAGATTGTAAATATTAATTTAATTTTTGTGTCAAAACAGCCGTTGGTGAAATTATTAGCACAGTTATTTGCGTACACACATCTACTTACTCTTCCTGGTAAAGTCTTTTTTAGCAAGTTTAGAGTAAAAAACAAAGACAGATTCATAAATCACAGGTTTAGTAGTAAACCCTATTACAACATGTTTCTAGTTTACGTTTGAAAATAAAAATAAAACCATATTATCAAGCACCAACAACTCATTATTTGAAGTACTTTTTTAATACAATCTTAAAAATAATTTGGGATGACGTCATCAACTCCCCAAAGGGAATAAATAAACTTACGAACAAATTATTGAATTTGACTGTAGAAAATATTATTGTTTTTTTATTGTTATTTCTTCAGCTGTATCAATAAAATTTAAAATAGGGGCGTGGTATATAGCACATTTCAAATATAATTTTATGTTGAAATTTTAAGATGGCAATTTAGTTTACTTGAAGCTGTAAAACGACAAGACAACATTACTCCTCTGGAAATAAAATATGTACTACTATTATGACTTAAGTGCTGGAAAACGAATATTTTCTAAATTGAGTCTTAATTTCAAAAGCTATCTCTCCTTTAGAACTGAATATCACTGCGTTAAAAGCTGTCACTTGGGAAAACCACAGAGTCCCATCTATTGATACATCGAGATAAAAATCAAGGTTTAAAAAACTGGTTCTACATTCTGATTTTAATTAAAGGGGGTCACAATATCTACACAACAGAACTCACCCTTCGAGCCTCACATCAGCCAGTGACCGATTGAGCGAAATCATATCACTAGCCAACAAATTAAACTGATTAAGTTTGAACTTCTCCTTCATCAGCGCATCCTTCTCAGGAGGAATATGCACTGCCTTCCCCATCTCCCCTGGAAGCCCGTGCACCGGTATGACCGTCGGCGCCGGCCGCCACCTCTTCAGGTCCGCCTGCTTGTACGTCGACTGCACCCCACTGCTAAAACTGACCGATCAAGACAAACCCTCGTTCGCCGACAGCCCACCTGTGCCCGTTGCTGACGAAGTTCTCGTCCACCTGGAGGTTGTCGTTGTCGTAGTCCTCGATTGCGTTCAACGCCGCCGCCTGGGGCTGCTTCTTGCAGGAGCCCCCCAGGCACTCGGAGTAAAAGGACAGGATGACGACGTCCACCAGGAACCAGACCAGCGACGTCAAGAGGATGACCCGACACGTGTGTATTCGCAGTTTGCCGTGGAACATGTTGGAGAAATCAACTAACACTACACATCACAATGAAAACAACACTATCACAGATAAAACGCGGCGGAAGCGCACGGTTAATGTCAAGATACGGCGAGTTTCTGAATGGAAAATGTCAGCTTTAGTGATCAGACCGCCTCATAGTTACGACGGAACGGAAATATTGAGGTTTCTAAGCGTCGGGACGTATACTTGTAGCATTTTTCGCACCTGCTGCCATACACGTCGCACATTCGTGTAGACAGCTGTCAAAAACGGGTGGTGGCAGCACTGCGCGTGCGTGACAAGTGACGTGACCTTAGAATGTTAATCCCCCAACTTGTTGTTGACCTTTACCAACAATAATGGAAATTAACCCGCTAATCTCATTTACGTGTGGGATTGCTGTACTACCTGCAGTAGCACTTTCTTCGCATAATCAAGGAATCACGGTTAGTGTTTCCTTCAGCGCCTACTTTTAAATTGTTTGTCGACATGTTACAGCCTTAGAACAACGTGCACCGGGATTTTTTCGCGACAGTGTTGCCAAATCGTGAACACGTCTAAACATGGTTTAAATTTTTTTATAAGACAAATGACATAAATTTAGTAAAATATGGACACACTATTCATAAGTCAACTATTTCGAATAGACTTTTCACACAAATTGTTATACGTCGTAAACAATATATACTTACTTTATCAACCATAGCATTTAATTACGTATTTATGAATTAAATTTAATATTTAAAAAGTCACATCTAAGTGCATATTGAAATAAAATCTGTGTTACATGTCTAACATATACAGTAGCGGTCATTTCTACGGAACCACTCGATAAAAAGTCAAGTTGGTAGCCCTGTCATCTAGTACTTTACGCCGAACGCGGTTGGTAGCGGTAGTTGATACGGCAATCGAAACTACTACAACACGAATGTTTCGGTTGCCCTCCGCTATGCCGCACTGTATCCCGTGCAGACTGTATGTTCTGTTCATCTATTTATTAAAATAAAATATCTACATTGACAATGGGGCCATCTAACCTGTCAAATTTTTGACACATATGTTTTCCCCCAGAAACCCGTCAAGGTCACTTACACCAAACAAATTTTGAAAATTTACACTAGGGAGTGGTTCTATAGAAAAGATCGCGACTTTAATAATATTCGTTTTTAGAGAACGCAAAGTCACATAAGTGTAAATTTTGACGTTGACACATTTGTATCCACAAACCACCCACTCAAGTACAGGTTTTTTACACATATTTGTGTTTAAGTACTTTATAATACGTCATACTGAAGATATCAAGGCGTCCAAAATACTAAAATTAAAAATAAAAACAACACAAATAGGATTCAAAAATGTCGCAAATACAAAATTCTCAGATTAAGACGTCCAAAATATTTGACTCGACTACAAAGAAGTGTTTAGAAAAGATTGTAAAGTTAGATGCGAAAAAATGAGAAATGTCAAAAAAACACATATAGCCTTTGCCATTTCTATTGAAATACCACTTGTTGATCTGTCAATAAAGTGTCAAATATCAACATTATTTTAAAAATTAGATTTCATGGCCTCCTAGGGGACTTATTTAGAGATGTACTTTTTTCATGATACGAACGCGGTTTACTAGAGATAGGGTTGTCCGAGGGGTTGTCAATACAATATACAATGACTCTATTACAGACAGGGTTATTCACGAGAAGCTCGACGCCTAAAAAATTCAGGACACAACCAAAACTACAATCACAGTATAGATAACAATTGATATCTATGCTGTGCTACAATTCCAATAGGTAGGCAACCAATAATTCTTTCGAATGATAGATTTGCCATCTCCAGAAAACGTCAAATTCTTATTAATGAAAATGCAATGACAGATTTTCTAAAAGAAAACAGTTCCTTTCAAAATCAGTCAATCCAAAGTACCATATACGTCTCGTCTAGGTATAAAATTCAAAGTTTTTTCCTCAGTTTAACCGAGTAAATGAAGATTAAATTTTAACTGTACCGATGTATACACATATATCTAGAACCAACTTTAGTGAGAGAACTGGAAATTTTGCTCGTGGCAGTTTATATTATAAATTCAATTTTGTTACACAACTTTACTGTGGTTAAAAATGATGAAAGTTCACTGAACTTTCAGTACTTAGGTGTAAAGTGAAAAATACACTATCGCGCCAAAAGTAGGTATATTTATTATGTTATATTACGTATTTTTTTGTTTTGTTTTTTAGTACCTACCTCAAAAATATTTTTAGTGTACAGGTGCGTTAATAAGCACGCGCTCCTATAGTAGTTCCGATGAGAGACGGGGATTTCTTGACATTTGACATATAAGTTGGCAACAACTACAAAATGCGCTGAAATTCCTACCCTATCGCTGTCACTGTTACAACTGAAGTTCCATTACTCAGGTTGCATTTTTTTCTTAATATTATGTAGTCATCTTCTCACAACAAGACACTTAAAACGTGTTTAAAATGATAAATTTGTATAGGGAAATATCAATTTTGCAATTACACTCCGCCCCTCGGTCTGATAACCAATGAAAAATTCATTACGATTGAGATCGGACGGATGGGTGGGGCTTCTCTTTTGGATTTTTGTTTTTTTAATTAATACATCTAGGGCCGGTTTATAGAAAAGCGAATTAAATATTTAATCCCCGATTAATTTAGCACAGTATTAAAATGACGAAAAGCCCGTGATTGGTTAAAACATACACGTTGCCTATGAACAGAACTCAATTAAAAGTTAATCACGAATTAACTTTAATTTTGCTTTCTATAAACCAAGTCTTAGTTTTCTTTGTATAACACGATTACTTAATAACAATTTCACATGGTAATTTCTGGTATAAAAGTAAAGATTTTACAATAAACCTCCGCCCCTCGGTTTACGACGAATAAAAAAAATCATTAGAATTGAGATAGGGTGGGTGGGCGGGGCTTATATTTTGCCCTTTTTTTATATACACAGCAGGCATCTTTTCACAACAAGAAACGTAAAACATGGAGCCAAATTGCAAAATCGATATTTCTTTATACAATTTTTCCATTTTAAAGATGTTTTATGTTTCATGTTGTGAAAATAAGTCTACACATTTTGAAACAAAAATGGCAAATTTTTGTAAGAAAATGCGGATTTTGCAATTAGGCTTCGCCGGCCCTAGGTCTTGCCATCGACTGAAAACTTCATTACTATTTAGATCAGAGCGGGTGTGGGTAGGGTTAATCTTTGGTTTTAATTTTTTCTTAATATATAGTCTTTGCCATTTCTATTGAAACACCACTTGTTAATCGTAAATTTGGCAACGTTCATATTCAGATAATTTTCTAACTTAAAGCCGTTGTCAATCAACCGAAAGCTGTTACCAATTGCTAAATTTTAAGCAAAATCAACAGGTGGTGTTTCAATAGAATTGGCAAAGACATTAATATGTACTATTCCGGAGAAAAAATTTCAAACAACTTCACATTACATTGACATCAAATTGTAAATGTGGCTTTATGAACACCTAACCTTACGTCTTATTTGAAGGCTGTCATACGACATACCAATTTCGTGAAGATTTGCCAAAATTTGAAATTTATTTACAAACGTTTGTCAGAATGACAATAAAGGGTGATTTACAATGATGGTTTTTAAAATGACAGAAGCTGATCGTTTGAAATTTTGTGTCCGGAACAGTACATAGTATTCTTTGAATAACACGATACTCAAAAATATGAATTACATGGTAATTTCTTGTAGAAGATAATAAAGGTTGACGATTAAAAAAAAATCATCACAATTAAGATAGGGCGGGTGGGCGGGGCTTATATTTTACCTTTTTTCTTAATATGCGTAGTCTTCTTTTCAGAACAAGAAACTTAAAACATTCATACAGCAAACATAAAATTCTTGTAGGCAAATATGGATCTTGCAATTAAGTGGCGCCCCTCGAACTGACAGCGAATGAAACATTGATCACAACTGAGAATTGAGATCGAGACGGGTGTGGGTGGGGCCTAATCTTTAGCTTTATTTTTTTCTTAATATACACTGTATTCTTTGAATAACACGATACTCAAAAACATGTTTTAATTTCTCGTAGAGACAAGGTTTTTGCAGTCAAGCTTCGCCTTCTTGGTTCACGACGAATAAAAAAAAAATCATCACAATTGAGATCGGGAGGGTGGGCGGGGCTACATTTTGCCTTTTGTTTTTTCTTAATATGTGTAGACTTATTTCGACAACAAGAAAAAAGTGTTCAGTTTTCAAGGGACCATATAAAACTTGTTTTTTTTAATAGGAGACCCATCTATCGTTACATGTTCTGATTAGCTTCTACTTGAGTTTCACAAGCACATTTTATTTGACATTTCGTTCCGACGTTGCCAAGTTTTTTAAGTTTTTTTGGATGTTTTCAAGTTCACATACAATCGTAGTAGAGTTATTTTTAACATCTGTATTTCAATATTCTCATATAAAAAATATACCCTTTGTTGTAGAACTAATAAAATTGAACCTTGGTACACAGTGTGTTTATTATTTTATGTTTAAAAAATTTAAATTCTTACAATTTTCAAATAGTTAAATCTAGTTTTCTTATTCTTTTTCTACTTTGTTAAATATTTTCTATACCTAAGTTCATAGTACGTTTCTGGGCTGTTTCACTTTTTTTTTTTGGAGATGGAATAATAAAATACTCATATTAAAACTTAATTTTACTGATACTACAACAAACCGCAAACCTTTGTTTATCTATCCATCAAATACTGCAGGACAAATGTAAAAAATAACCAACCCTACTAGAGTTTTTTGTGAACCACTGCATTGTGAATTAAATTCAAGAAAATTGACAACACTCCATCAAAATTTTAAAAATAAAATATACTATCAGGCCTACCTAGACTATGGATATTTGTATATAATTATACATATGTAAATATATAACTTTTCCAACTCCTGCATATGTGTGTTTTTTTTTAATTTAAAATATAATATCAGATATTGTTTTAATCTACAGTGATTTCAAGGACTTTTTAAGACAATGTGTGATAAATATATAGTTTTCAAATTTGATACATTTCACAATGGGCACTTGAAATAAAAAAAAAAATTAAATATATTTACATGATCTCCAGAGACATATTATTTACAAAGTATAAAATGGTTCCGCCTGCCAGAAACAAGGATTGATTAACCCAACAAATCGACTGTATTAAAAAAGCTTTTGTTTATACCACGTCTAATCTTAGAATGACGATTCTTTAGACGGTCACATAAATCACTTAAGTTTTACTAGACATTTTTAAATATTTTTTTATTGTATTAAAGACACAGACAAAACTTAGCGACAAAGAAACGCCATTTGTGTCAAAATTTTCAGGAGATTCGTATATTGTATAAGCTAAGTAAATATATACAGACGTGTGTGTAGGCAAAATTCAATGTGGTAAAAATTTATGTTAATATTATAATAATAAGAATATCACTTTTATGCCAAGTATCATCATTATC